CTGGTGAAGACATGTCCGTGTTGTGGAGCTCCAGTGAGTCAACTATTTTAACAATCATAAAAAAGGTCAGAATTTTTCAAGGAAAGATGCTGAAAATTCGCTTCCACTTCTCCAACGCCCTGTAAAAGATGCCAAACGTAACACGATGAACCTCTCCTTAGCATCTTTCAGCATCACGCTCTGCTTTTCCGACTCCAGCTTTATGTTTTCGTTCTCATCAGTGCAGTTTCACATACAGCTGATCTCACAGCTGTGATAAAGCCATTCAGATCCACTTTACCAGCACAGAACCGCACAGTTAGCAACTAGCTGTCAAGCTGTGGAGCACTTAGCGGCAGATATTTCCCTCAGGAGTCGAATCCTGATGTTGCTCAGTGTCTGCTAGATGTTTGCGTAATTGCTAATACTTAATTTAATGGAAGGTTGTGCACACTTGAGGAAGTTTCATTAAGTGTAATCAAAGGTAATTTGCTGTCAGAGTCCAAATATTTAACACCTTTATGTGTAGGATTTGGAAATTTGGTGACTCGGTAGAATTATAACATAAACCACTAAGGAACACAATGCCTGAACAATTTTTTTTTTTACTATTGAGTGAAATGTGATGTTAAGTTTAGCCAAAATTGCGCAGCCGGTCTTATTCCAAGACTCCAGTGTCCATGTGACCCTTAAATGGATTAAGTGGGGTAAAGATAATGGATATGTGTCCAATTTGATGAAAAATGAGAAGTAAATGCTGCTAATATGATGCAAATAGCAGCTGAGATTGCAGTAGAGGGATGTTAAATGTGAAAGACCATCCATGAAAATTGATAATAATGATTCCATTCAGGCTCCAGCACAGACCTCTTCACTACTGTTTGCCAGCTGAAGGAAGCAGGGATCTCTTGATTTTTCTTTTCTTTTCTTTTTTTTTAAAAAAAATTCGTCTCTTTTCAGCTATTATGTGTGACTCATATACTGTGTGCTGCATCGAGTTCCGACTGTGTGTCTGGATCACAGGCCGGTTCAGGACCCGCAGAGGGCAGCAGCAAGAGAACTTTGCATCCTCCTCGAGTCCATCCCGGCTGTCCTGATAATGAAATTCGATTACAACTTGCTCCCAGCCTGAGATCCTCTCTCACTTATCTCATGTGTACAGATGCTCCCGTTTCCCAGGGGAGGCATCTTTAACAGGGTTCCTCTCCAGCAACCAACAGGAGCTGTGATACGACATTCAAAGCGGTAGCAGGTGCAGAATCCCCCCAAAATGGTCTCTAGACTCCCTTTTTTTTTTTTCTTTTTTTTTTTCCCCCTGTTGTCGAAGAATTGTTATTCGTCAGATCGGCTCCCTCTCCTCCCCTCCCTTTAGGTTTACTGCAGGGCCATGTGGGACGTGTCCTGTTGTGATTATGAGCTGTGACGAGAATGAGATTATGAGATACTGATAATGCAGCCTATTTTGGAGAATGTGCCTCGGTTCCAGATCTTCACGGTCCCGATCATGATAGTTGGCGGCGGAAGGGGGGGAGGAGAATGGCTGGAAATTACGCCGATTCCCCTCACTGCACAAAACCAGACAGCAGCATTTGTTTCCTTCAATTGAATAACTGAGCACTGTTCTGCTGTCCTCTGCTGTGTTCAAACTCAATGGATGTCTGCCTTTAGGTTAAGGAGTCAGCGACTTTGCAAATGGACCGAGTTCCATTGAACACTCCAGCACTTTTCTTTCCACGTCAAGGGGCAAAATGAATAAAACAAACTCTGTGGGCATTTCTTTAGATCCACTGCATCTATAGTTCAAACTCATTTACACAGGGACTTGGGGTAAAAGAGCTACAATCACATCAAATGATTCATCTGGAAATACTGAAGTGTGTTAAATCCATTTCAGTTTGCGTCACGTATAGATACGCTTTAATGTGCAACGTGGATCTGTATCTGTGTTTGCAGGAGTTTTTTGAGAATCCAGCGTTCAGGCCCGACGGTTTGAAGCTGTACCCGACGCTGGTGATCCGAGGCACGGGTCTGTACGAGCTGTGGAAGACGGGCCGCTACAAGAGCTACACGCCGAGCGCTCTGGTGGACCTGGTGGCCCGGATTCTGGCGCTGGTGCCACCCTGGACACGAGTGTACCGGGTGCAGAGGTGAGCGAGTTAACAGGAGACTGTGGCTCTAAACCCTAAGCAGCTTGTGCAAGTTACAATGCCCTAAATCATGAAGAAAGAAATAACAGAAGTTTTTTATTTGTTGCCAAACTTGGACAAAAATGGGGTTTCACATGCTGTTGATTTGCATTTTTATTACCTCAAGAAACTTTTTCACATTAGTCTGCACCTAAACTCTACAGACATTTCACCATGCTGCATTTATTTTATTGATCAAGTGTGTTTTACTTTCTTCTCATTCTCTCTAATTAATTTCCACGCTGCTCCGTGTAAACACAGCCTGCAGTTCAGCCGACAAGTCGGAAATTTTGGTACTGCACTTGTTACATAAATAAATGTATGTGTTTTCTGAAAAATGTCTTTACATTACTGAGCCATCGTAAGATTTTTAGATGTGATATATTCACATGAAATAAAAGCATTCATGTGGTAGCTTTAAAATACAGTTATAAGAAATAAAATAAGTCTAAACATATTTGAAAGAGCAAATTCTGTGCATTTCAGAGTGATGTAGAGCCACGATGATTAATCTTGAAATGGATCTGCAAAAATTCTGACTGTTGGCCTGTTGGTTGAAGTAATTGATTTGGAGAAACAAGTGTAAATTCTCAGATTTCAGCTTTTTAAATTTGAATATTTTCTGGTTTCTTTACTCGTTTGTGACAGTAAACTGAATGTCTTTGGGTTGTGGGCGAAGCAAGACATTTAAGGACATTATCTTGAGCTTTTTGAAGCACTGATGGACATTTTTCGCATTTGACCAGACATTTTGATTAATTTATTGAGACAAGAGAGGAATTAATCTACAGTAAAAGTAATTGTTAATACGTCAGATGTATGCAGATATTCACACACTTCTGTATTTCTTATGTGGTATAGTTGTAATACCCCTGTTTAAAGCTGCTTAAAGCTAATATACCATCATCTCATGTATCATCCGTCTCCTCATTGCTTCCCATCAGGGATATCCCCATGCCGCTGGTGAGCTCCGGAGTGGAGCACGGCAACCTGCGAGAGCTGGCACTGGCCAGGATGAAGGACATGGGCACTGAGGTGAGACTCAAAGGCCTTTCATATTAGCCTAGAAGACTCTGTGTCAGCTTATTCTGAGTAAGGAAGCTAATAGACTTTTCCAGCTGGGATACGATCCAAGAGAAGGGACCGTAGGACTCTAGTGGCGGCGGCGGCGGCGGCTGCCAAAACACAAGTGCTGACTGTCAGAATCATTTTCCTATATTGCTATGATAGGGTAAAACGACAGATTAAAAAACCTCTCAGGTGCAGTTGAGGACTGTTGGAGCACAGAATTGAGCATCCTCCCTCCCACGTTCCCTGCACATTTATTGAATTTATGTTTCAAGGCAGAAAATAGATTACTAGTTTAGCAGAAGTCCAGCCAGCCTGAAAACACCACGCCACAGAATCGCCAGCTGAAGACATTGAAGCAGAAGACCCCTCACCAAGTTCCATCAAAAAAGACGTATGGGGTGAAGAGCCCCTCTTAGCTTCTGCTGGAAGGATCTTTATTGATGGTCACAGTGAAATACTGTAATACATCTTCTTGACTTTGCCCTGCATTGTGTCATCGTTTGTTAGCAAAATCATGCTATTTTCATACCGTTTGGTGGAAACCAGCTCAATTCAATTTTATTTGTATAGCGCATATTTACAACAACAAGCCATCTCATAGCGCTTAACAAAGGCAGAGACAGAAACACCCAACAATCCAAAACATTTGGATTCCCTATAAGCTTCAGCAGTCCGAAAGCAGTCTACAACAGTGGGAAGGAACCGAAAACCCCCACAAGGGTAAAAAAAAACTCCGACAGAACCAGGCTTAGGGAGGGACAGCCATCTGCCTCGACCGGTTGGGTGGATGTAGGATGAATTATAAAATTTAGTTTACAGTTAAACAAGTTATTAGAAGTTCCGAACTGTGTTGAATTTTTGTCAAATGTTGCACCCCATTTCTGCAGCACAGTTGTGCTGCATTTGTTTAAATTATCTAATCGTTGACTTTTTGAAGCAGTTTCTGAGCAGTTTTTTTGTGCCGGTTATATTTTTAGTAACTGTGGGTTCATTTTTCACTGCAATATAAAGTCTTCTATGGAAACAGCACAACCATGACTAGAAGTAGAGAGAACTTGAGTCTATCTTTAACACAGAAAAAGATGAAAAAATTTTGAGAAAAAAAAAGTTAATTAGTTTACGTATTTTACAAAAAAAAAAAGAAAAAGAAAAAAAAAAGAAATCAGTATGTACAACATTCTAAATGTTGGAAATAATGGTGACTACACATAAATATTTTTATTAGTTTCCTAACTTGTGTCCTAGCTGCTCTGTATAAACACAGCCTGCACTTCAACCCAGTTCAACCCCACAGTCACTGAATTTTTGCCACATGACTGTTGTTCACAACGGAGTCACTAACGGCTTCCTGGTTGTGGCGAGGAGCACAAACTTTTTTGTTTTTGCCAGAATCTGTTTTGTGCAAAGGGTTTATTTTTGGTGAATTTTTAAACGAGACATGAAAAATAGTGATTTTGGTGAAGCGTCATCATTTTGAGTGATGGTTCTTTCTGTTCCTACAGTTACTGGCTTTGATGAAAGGCGTACTAAATGAAGCCTTTTCAAACCTGCCTGCAGATTTGGGGATTCATAGGGTTGAAAACTTTTCAGGCTGGCTTGCAGCTTCATGCAACTAACTTTATCTGTTGCTGAAGCATCGTTTTTTTTTTTTTGTTTTTGATATACACAAAAAAAAGTCTTGTCCAAGACTTTAGTTTTCCCATCACTTATTTCGTTTTAAGAAATGGTCGTTCATCCTTGAAACAGAAAGCATTTAAAGTCGTAATCCTTAACACGTCCGACCTGGTTGATTTGGACAAACCAGTGGTTACCATGGGAACATCAAGTGCCGTTTAATATTACAGCAAACGCTCCTTGAACAACTACTTTATCAAAAGTACCACAAAAGAGCCACTGGTGTATCTACAGTGCAGCCAAACAGACATCTGTCAGTGATTGTTCTTTTTCATCACCAAGAACAAACGCGATCTGATTTCATGCTGCACACGCTGACAGTATTTCACACAACACGTCTTGTTGTGCAGCCCACTGTGGCTGCTGTTTCATCTTCTATTGTTCCCTGATGAGTGAAAATGATCTGTTGTCAAATAATCCTGAAAATGTGTTTTGTCGAGACATTTTTGTTGATGTCAGCACGAACCTCTGCGAGAAACTCCTTCCATCATCTCCTGCTTCACAATAGTTCCTGGGTGGTGACGTTCAGAAATGTTGCGTTAGCATAAGCAATAACTTGCACTAACAGTCTAATACGGTCCTTATATGGTGTAAAAAGACGTGATAGTGAGGCTCATAACGGTGAGATGAATTCCTGTTGTTGCATCGGGCTGCCTGCAGCAACATCTTTTGTGTATTTCTGGCTGCGCACTGGTTCCTTTAAAAGTGGTAATCACACAATGTTATCATCCTAAAAAAGCCCACCCTCTTTAGTGTAAAATACAGGATTTAATTTAGTAAAAACTTAAAGTATTCTATGTTTTATGTTCTAGAAAACTGAAACTGAAAAAAACAGAAACCTTAAAGAACCCATGTTGTGTATGCTTTCAGATTCATACATTTATTTTTCAGGTCTACTAGAATATCTTTACATACTTTAATGTTCAAAAACTACATTACTTTTCTCATACTGTGCATTGCTGCAGCATTTCTATGTGAAACTGAAAATCTTGTCTCTTTAAAGGCTCTCTTCTGAAGAGCTGCTCTGATTGGTCAACTGGCCCGACAAAAGCAAGGCAATGTTGGTTTCGGACTGCAACCTCTGAACTATGAGTATAGTTGAGAGACGTAGCTCTGATAGAAGTGGCTCTAGCAGGAAAGAAATGATGAATGGAACATTTTCAAAATGGGAAATTAGCAGCTAAGCAGGCGTTGCGCAGATGTGTTACATGGTGATGTAGATAAGTAACGAAAGAAAAGCCTGGACTTTAAATTGCGTGTTTCAGGTAGGTAAGAAGTTTTCTGTGGGAGAGGATAACTACCTTTGGCTTGGATTTTGCGCGTTTGCAGAAGGAAGGGGATGATATGGGCTCTTTAAATTCTCAGACTCGTCCAGAGAATGTACGTTTCTAAGCTTTTTTGATGCGTTTGCAGTGTCGAGATGTGAGAACCCGAGAAGTGGGCATTCAGGAGATCCACCACAAAGTCAGACCTTACCAGGTAACTTGCGCATTCCCCTTCACAGAGTTTCAGATAAGTGGATGAAAGATTGTGTACTGATGACAAAAACAAAAAACCTGTGAGTGATATTCTTTGAACACTGTTAACTAATACAGATTCTGTTTGCAGGTGGAGCTGGTGAGGAGGGACTACGTGGCAAACGGCGGCTGGGAGACCTTCCTCTCCTACGAGGATCCGGAGCAGGACATCCTCATCGGCCTGCTTCGGCTGCGTCGCTGCTCTCCGCAGTCTTTCCGTCCGGAGCTCAAAGGAGGAGTCTCCATCGTCCGAGAGCTGCACGTCTACGGCAGCGTCGTCCCCGTGAGCAGCCGAGACCCCAGCAAGTTCCAGCATCAGGTGGCTGCATTTTCAAACACACACTTGTCGTAGAAAATAAGCTCTTCCACCCGTCAATTTTTTTACCAGCTGTGAATGTGATTGTTTTTCTCCTGCACTGTCTGAGATCACACCTGGAATCTGTTTTCTTTGGCCCACTTCAGAGTAAAGAAATTTAAGATGAAGATTTGTGGAAAAGTGACTGATTTGACAAAGTGGTTTATGTTTATCTCTTTAGGGTTTTGGTATGATGCTGATGGAGGAGGCGGAGAGAATCGCCAGAGACGAACATGGCTCCGGCAAACTGGCCGTAATCTCAGGTAAGAAGTACACAGAAGGGTGTAGTTTACCCCCTCCTCAGACATCTGACTACAAACATTCATATGCATCTGAAAATAAAAGTGTCAAGACAAGAATATTGTAATCCGTGTGCAGTTTTCCTTAAAAGCACTGCAAATGGAAACATTCCCACCTTGCTCCTGGTCCGCTTGGCGACACTCGTAGTGACTAATGATAACTGTATCTGTTTACAGAACACACTCATGTTGTTAGTCAGTAATGATTGTAAACACAACACGTCAGCACCGGCGTATACGTCACTGGAACAGCGTTTGTGTAATTACTGCCATAAAGTGGAGACGAAAGTTCAGCGCTGCAGGTAGATTTTTGCATTTAAAATGTGTTTTAGTCAAACAGTTAAACTCGCTGCTACACAGAATATTTGAGTCGTATTTTCAGAAATTGAGCACTCGTCAGTTTTAGAGCCCAAATGATACAAATATTTTGAAGTCAGCACCAATATAGCCCCTTACAGGCTCTGTTTCGTTAACGTGATGGCGGCTGATTGCGTCGGCTTCGTGTCAGAATGGGCGTCCTTGTAACATTGCCGTAAAAAAATCACGCAATTCTTCGAGGTCGGAGCTTTGAACAAGTCTGAACTGAACCATCACACGCAATCAACAGTACTTTGATTTGTGGGAAGTGACTACGGTGGCTGACAGGGACAAATGACGTGCATGTACACAAATGAGCTGCATATATGTGAATGTGTTGCATAAACAGGAACGCGCTGCATAAATGAAAACAAATGCAAAAAGAAAACGCTGCATATCCAGTCACACAACGGAAGTGCCACAGGCCTCAAGGGGTAGTTTTTTAGCTTTCCAGTCACTGTGATTATATGGTGCTGAAGTGGTGTTTTACTCCCATCTCCCTGTGTTCTCTCTGTTATGTTTATCCATGGAGACGAGAGAATACATTTTCATACAGCTTTTACCTCAGCTAGCGTTACTTGTCTCGCTCACCGTTGTCTGCCTCTCAGGTGAAAAGCTCACTGCTGCCCCTAGAGGCCTGGGGCTCTTCCGTTGTGTGACTGGAGATGCAGCGTTTTCCTTTCGCAGTGCATTTCTGTTTATGCAACACATTCATGTATTTGCAGCTTGTTCGTGTCTATGCGCGTCATTTGCCCCTGTCAGCCACCATAAGTGACCTTGGGGAGACTTTTTCTACATTTCAGCACCAATATTCATCCAAAAAACATCACAGAGGCCTAATATACAGTTTGTGTGTCACACATTTCTCACTCATTTGGCTCCGCCATTTCAAATCTATGAGGCTCAAAAATAAAATGTCCATAATTATAAAAACAGACACCAACAGCATCAATAAATGATACTCAACACACTCAAGTTTTTTTTCCCCCACAAGATGTTGAAGTTTGTTGCTTCCAGCTGTTTCTGACTATTTCCTCTGAGTTTATTAAACACCTGCAACATCTAACAGTTGCAGCATCCATGTGAGCGTCTACAAAGATAGACGCACATGGAGCAACAGCAGTAACTTCATTCATTAGTTCCAACTATAAATTTGCCCCAAAGTGGAGACAAGGTCAATCTAACAGCAGGTCACACTGTGTGGAAAATATCTACAGTATGTGGCGTCTGTCGTTCAGCGGTTGGTAACACCTGTTGATTCCTTTTTTCTTTCCGTTTTTGTTAAATAAATAATCAAATAAATGTCTGTTTTTTCTGATTCGTGTCATTCTGTGTCACAAACCTGTGTGTGGTTTGTCCCGCAGGTGTAGGAACCAGGAACTACTACAGGAAGATGGGCTACGAGCTGGAGGGACCGTACATGGTGAAGGACCTGTATGGTCCAGGAATGGACTGAACCCAACCACGTTTTTTTTATCAGGACGCTGCACTCAGATTTACATACGCTCACAAACTACTTTATTTATCAGAACAATATTCCAGGGACGTGCTTCTGCAGTATTTGTAGTGAAACTGTAGATAATGGTTCTTCTCACAGAATATGCCGCTCCCTTTTTTTTTTTATCTAGAACACACCAGGCAAAGCTGCTGCGTTTCTTCGATAAGGAGAAAGCGAGAGGACGTAAGGAATTTGAGTTCAATTTAAGATGCAAACACTCTCTACATGTACGGTCTCTGCAAAAGCATGTGAAATCATACATGTGAGTTTGCTCCTCTTCCTGAGGAAAAGCGCCTCGATAATGAACTCTGTCAAAAAGCAGCGCTGGTTCCGTTCGACTTGAAGGCCGTTTTAAATTCAAATGTTACACATGTCTGGGGAAGAAACATCGAAAGGTGTCCCTTAAATAAATGTCGTCTGGGAAGAGAGACCTGCTTAGCATCATGGTTTGAGTTAATCATGTTTATGTTGCAATTAAATAGGAAACCCATTACGAGTCAAGCGTTCATTAACGCTTGGCAGTGGATGAATGAACAGTGGGAAGTGTCCTCACTGGGCAGCCGTTGTATAATTGCGCAATTTTGATTTATAGGGCAGGAAATTGAATATTAGTGTTACATAAATTGCTTTTTAAAGCCCCTCAGTTAATCCTGTTTCTTGTTTTTCTGTCATGCATTCTTGGGTTTCTGGTAAAATCCAGAGGTTTGATCGTTTCTTTCCTCAAAGAATAAAGTATATTTCAGCTACTGTGATGTGAAAGAAGTCGTTCCTGTCACAAGTGATTGAACTTAATATAGCCAGAAAGGTCACTGCATAAAAGAGGCTCCTGTAATGTATTCCCCAATGTCAAAGGTTTCACCTCTTGGCAGGAAACCCCCCCAATGATTCCCCTGTGAGGGCGTTTTGCTGGCTCATTTGACGCAGCCTATCCAATTATCAGTTACCTGTCTATTGAGCAGTGACTGAACGCCGTGTTCGGCCGCTCTGTTACTGGAAAAAGGGGTTTGTCATTTGAAAAATAGCCAGCAATAAAGCACGCAGCGACCTATGTCTCATATAGACTGGAGCTGCTCGGCGCGATAGAGGCTGAGCGGCGGTGCGTAATTTCCTGGATGTGTGTCGTGACTGCGCTCTGCTGTGTGTCGGTGTTGCAGTCCTGACGCAGTGAGGAATCGGCCACATTCGGGCTTTCTCTCCACGCTTGCTCGCTCCTATCAGCTGTGAAATCTGAAAAAGGACTCCCACCACCACCACCACCACCACCACCCGCCTCCTCCCGCTCACACTGGCTGAGCTGATTTGTGCTGTGGAGGAGTTTGGGGTCTAATCTTCGCTGCAACATGAGTACAAGTGGAGCGAGTTCGCTTGAACTCTGCTGAATTGAAGGTTACAGGATTTATCTGTAAAAAATGAGCACACAAAAGAAGAGAAAAGGGCTTTAAGTGTGTTGATAATGCACATATTTGACCCCTTCGTCCCGTTTTTACACTTTTTTTACACGCATGAAAGTGCAGAGTAATGAATAGAAACTGTAGAACACGGTGCTCTCGCTGAGCTGGATCAGCTGGAGTGAGTTTGCTGTGTCTTATAGGTTGTTAATGCTCCTTTAAATAGTCCAGGAGAAGAGATGCAGGGGCTGGTGTGGAGAAAAAGTTCACCAATAAACCAAAATAGAGCTCTAAACATAACTAAAAAAAAACAAAACACTGAAATTTCTGTTTATGTTTTTGCCTGATCAGAGTTTGTAACTCTCCTCCACCTCCTCCTGCATTTTCTGCACCTTGTTGTCTTCACCCGTCTTGTTTTTCATAAACTCTCTTACACCTGAATGGAGACAGACTTTTTACTTTGAGCTTTACTTAACAGAAAATACCACCTCACCCACTTTCCTACGCTTATACAGAAGTAGTGTGAAGAGGATTTACTGCTTAAGAGACACTCAGAAGACCCAAAATGTGAACTGTATGTGTTTGTGATCGACAGTATCTTGTTTTTAATGGATGGTTGGTGTAACAGAGGAATATATGCAGCTCTGATTCTATATGATTAGTCACAGATGCTGCTTTCTTCTGAGAAATACCTTCAATAAGGGCACTAAACTCTTATTTTTCTTTGATTTATCGGTTTTTATTATTGGAAAGTTTAGTTCTTGAGCGCTTGTAGACATTTATGTAGTCGCTTTGTTTAAAATACTACAGATGGAGCGCAGATCCAGTTAAGGAAGCAGGAATTTTGTGTATTTTATCATTTAAAAGCATCGTGGTATTTGAGCTGCTGATGCTCTCTCAAACTGGCTGCATCGGTCGACCACAAATCTGCACCAATGTGTAGTTAATACAGCACAGACGACGGTGTGTTTGCCTGAAACCTCACTGGGCTGTACATTGTTTTAAATAAAACTCCGTCAGTACCTCGGCAACACTTTGTCGGATTTAACTTTACGATACCCTGAGGATCCATCCGAATGACCTCAGCTGATTTTTAAGAGCAGAGTACAGTTGCAAAGCAAGAGTTATTGCTCACTGTAATGTCTCCTCTTGTCCACACTGGCTGTAAATTGATCCCTTTCTAATGCGATTTCAATTTTGAGTAATGGAGGATAAGAGCTTTTGGCAGGTACAAGTTAGTCAAATCTAGTTCTTCCAAAGATAAGTTCTCTTTTTTAAGCAGCAGATTCTCTCCTAATGTTGCTTTTACTGTTACATGAGGGAGTTTGGTGCCTAAAAAAACGATGAAGCCTCGTATCAGCTCACACTTTGATGCATTTAGCACAAAATGTGGACTGCAGATCTGAGTTCAAGTATTCAGATCCTTCAGAAAAAGTGTCCGTATCACACTGTGAACATATTCCACTGCAGGTAGATGTCCTGCGTTCAGTAAAAGTATGTTATCAGAAATATTTCATTTTTTCTGCTGAAAACTGCCTGTTTTATGCGGTGCTTTAGGATTAATATTACTGCTGCATTCATGTGTGTGTTGCATTTTACTGCTTCAGATGTGTACGGTCGGCCAGTTTTAACCACTTTATACACTGCTGGGTGGTTTATTTTATAGTAATGCAACATATTCTGTAAAATCACGTTTGTATTGTCGCTTGGAACCGCAAATCTCTAAAAACTCGTCATTAACTCAGGATGAACCGCCCCGTTCTCAGGTTTGTGATGATGCGTTTTCCTGAAAAGCCAAGAGTTTAAACAAAAAAAAATAATCGTAATGTTAGCGTGATGACAGTTTTTCTCAGTCACTATGGTACGTTTCTCGAATCATCCTCCTCATTTGCAAAACAGTGAGTGCATTTCTCAAAACAATTCGTACGGATAGCAAAACACCATGGATTACCTGCAAAAGGCAGTTACTTGCTCAAAATCCTTAGTTCATCTCTCAAAGCTAAATATCTGTGTCACATGTCAGTGCCTCAGAATGACAAGTCCTTGTGTCAATGTGTACGGATAAGACAGTCACATTGTTTAGTCATGTTGTCTATATAACTGTTTTACTCTGGAGGGATGTTCTGATGTCACTTATTGTAAATTGTGAGTTACACCTTAGTGTATGTGGGAGATTGATTGCAAAAGACTGGACAAGATTCACATTTAGGCTTTTACTGTTTGTCCTGTAATTTGTTGACAGACCAGGTCAGTGCGATACAGAAAGGAAAAGACAGAACTGTGTAGTACAAAGAAAACAACAAAAGCAGAAATATGAACATAGGACAGCCTCCTTAGGGAAAACTGTACATGCAGTGCTGTAGGAATTACAGTGCAGTCTTAGTTGATGGTTCATAAGATGCACCTGATTGATCATTGGTTGATCTACATAATGCTGCACACATTTCCCTTCATTAGAGAAAGTCAAGATTCACCTGGGAGCAACTTACCAGCTCAGGACAGATTTAGAAAAAAGTCTGATGGTAATGTATAGAAAGATGCTCGACATATTCTGACAACTTGTTCGACCATTTTGCATGTAAAGACTGATGCGATGAACTAATGCCTACATGTTGTGGGGGTGAGACGATTCAACAGAGACCCATTCTTATACATTTTGATCAACATGACAGAAGCAGTTGATAATGTAGGAAACAGCAGAGAGCTGTACATAATCCTTAGCGTGGATGTACAAAGCATTTAGAACTTGTTCAAAGAAATGAGAAACTGATTTTTTGATGTGCACAAGTGACGCAATGATGTGAATATTGAACAAGTGGTTTTGAGAATTTCAATTCTGATCTGAGAAATGAAGCAAAGCAACTGAGCAAAACTGTACTAGTGTAAAATAGTTTGCACCTTTTAAGACGTAGAGCAGGGGTGTCGACATCCGGTCCTTGAGGGCCGCAATCCTGCATGTTTTAGATGTTTCTCTCTTCCAACACACCTGATTCAAATGATCAGGATCGTTATCAGACTTCTGCAGAGCTTGATGATGAGCTGATCATTTGAATCAGGTGTGTTGGAAGAGGGAACCATCTAAAACATGCAGGATTGCGGCCCTCGAGGACCGCAGTTCGACACCCCTGACGTAGAGGAATATTCTGAACGCATTAAGGCACTTTACTTTTAGTTTATCAGAAAAAATGGAATTCAAAAATCACCAGATTCGAAGATACTAAAGTTTTCTCTCGATAAGAATATAAAAATGTGTCAGTGGAGTAAAAAGTACAATATTTACCACTTAGATGTAGTGGAGTCTAAGTATAAAGCTGCATAAAATGGAAATACTTCAGTAAAAATGCCTTGAACTTGGACTTGAGTAAATACAGTTTGCTACGTTCAACCACTGCTGCAGATTAAGGTTCACATCTCTCATGTTGGAGGCGTAACTTCTTCAGTGCAAGTATGATTTTAAGAGAAAAAAAAGTGTAGATTCTAAGTCATCCAGGGCTTAATAATCCAAGGAGCTTCAGTAAAAAGCAGCTCAGCTTCTCTTTTAGGATCGTGAAGCCTCCCAATCAAGTAGCTTCTTCAGTTCTGGTGTTTTTACCCAAAGACCTATAATAGAGTTTATTTAATTCCTCTTCAGACCAAAGTACTCCAGATAATTTCACTCTTAATGGACTTTTCCTGCTCCGGCGAGTCAAAACGTCTGCCATGTGGCTAGAACACTCACTCTCACCGCTAAAGGTCACGGGAGCAAAGGTCACTCGGTTTAAATCTCCGCTGGCACCTCTGACGTCTATCGCAAGAACAGGCTGACAAAGCCGCCGCTTACCTCCACGTCAAGGCTGCATTTATGCCTGCCCTTTTTTCTAAGTGGGTTATCATGCATTTGAAATAAATAACAGTCGGGTTACCAGCGATTAGAGATGTCACAATTTCATCTTTATTTAAATAACAGTCGATTTTTAAAAAGCAGACGTTTGGACACAATCCGTGTTACATCACAAAAGAACAGTAAAGTAAGGAGGCCGTGACTAAGACTGATGAGCAGCAATAAACGTTGTGGATGCGATCTGCAACAGTCCTAATGCCTGGCTTTAATTTCCTGTTCGTGAGCGGACGGTATATTAGCCATCGTTAGTCACACTGAGCTTCACGCCCCGAGTCCTTTCGGAGCCGAGATTTTACTGAAACGCTCACACGGTAGCGCAGTTTTAGTAAACTTTTAAAGCCTTCGATGGTTTAAAACGGTTATATGTTACCGACTCAAAGCACGCCGGTGAAATAACGAGGAAACGTTTAAAAATGGAACAAATCCGGACCGAAAAATGAGATATTTTCAAGTAATATTCAGAATCAGATATGAAGGAAATACGACAAACAACAGACGTGTGCAGAAAGCAGGCAACCTGTTCTAACCTTTATGAGCTCGACTAGATGTGTGGTGCCGATATCTCGCATTAGATATGCTTCAAACAACATTTTAGAAATCCATGTTGTCATTTTTCCAACAACGAATGTCACTTTTACGTGTGTTTGGAGTTTCTCATTGCAGAAATCAACAATCTGCAGCTGAATGAAGACGAGTTGTAATTCCAGTTTCATTCTGACTACTCATAAGGTAGCTTTAATTCCCCCTTAAATTCAAGATATCTGCATTTCCCTTTTATTTTTTTTTAAATATCCTAAATTAGCTTTGAACTAGTCAGAATGACTCTGTAGATATTTCTAACTCGACTTCTGTTTAGTCAAAACGCAATTACAGATGTCTTGAATTGACTTTGCAGATATCTGTTGTTACATCAGAAGCTACAAAAAGTGGCTTTTTTTAAAACACACTAGCCGTTTTACCACCAAGCAAACTGGGGAAGTTCTAGTAAATGTCGACCACAAGCCTCTAATGAACAAAGCTCTGGTCCTCCACTAACTCCTCACCGATGAGCTCTTTCTGTTTCGCTGCATTTTCCAGCGATTTTATCCGCCGCAGCCACCGCTGTTACTTCTACCTGCTCAATATCTGATGAGGAACATCACGAGAGCAGCGTCATGCACAACAATTCAGAGAGCGGTGATGACATTTGAGATATTTTTGAACTATTCTGTGGATCCACTGGTCAAAATGATGTTGTTGATATGTGGAATTTAAGTAGTGGACGGTTAACCTCAGATATTAGATGTTAGAACAGCTTAAGAAGAAGAAGAAGAAGAAGAAATGTTAACAGCATTGAATTAAAGCCACAAAGTATTTATCGTAGTAGTATTTCTGAATCATGTCCACCTCATTTACACGTATTCGGAGCACAAATATTAAAATACCTTGTAACACCACAAACGGAAAAAATGCAGCTTATATAAATTATTCATGTTTCAAGGTTTTGTTTTGTTTTTTGTTAAATAATCTTTCAAGACATCTGAAGATATATTCAATCTGTGCTACATCAATATGTTATTATTTGGGGCAAAAACCATAAAGACAGATGCCAGCTACATTTTCAGCAAGTAAAAATTCTGATGTCCACAAATCCCATCAAAAAAAATTACCTAAATTAAGATATAATGAGGAGTCGCATTTAAGGACGAGCAGCAGCAGCAGCAGCAGCGATCCTCTGTGTCTCAGTTCAGCTCTTTATACATGTACTGAAATTGATTTTCTATGTCGAGCATTAAAGGCCTGAAGCAACAGCGTGGTGTTTACAGGAAAGACAGCCAGAGTCTGAATGCCATCGAGTGTTTTATCTGCAGTGCAGTCGGGGGGTCCGAGGTCAATGGACCGCTTTCCACAAGAGGATCTGGAGGCCGGATTGGAAATGGCCTCCAGTTTTTCCCTTTATGCTGCTTTCCACAGTGTTTACAAACCGAGCGGCTGCTTCAATGACAAAAATAGCACCTTCAGTCCCACATAATCATACGTATTTCTTATCCCAGCTTCCCCGAGGCAGCAAAGTGGCCGATGTTTACACATAGTGGAGGAACTGCAGTCGGGGGGTCCAGTCAATTCGTCCGTGTAACGGCTATAGTGGTTACAGCCATTATGGTCTCTTAAGCGCGCTTTCTGTCAGCGGGAGTCCTCTTTGAGAGCCGAGCGCAATCTGGCCTCCAGCTGGTCGGCGGGGGGTCGGGCGTCCGGGTCGGAGGCGAGCATGTCCGAGAGCAGGGAGCACATGGCCGGGCCGGGAGGGGGCGGCAGCGGGGGCGCCCTCTTAAACTTCATGGGGATGCACAGCTGGAGGTCGGCGTTCTCCCACAGGGCCTCCCCCAGCGGCATGAGCCAGCGGCCTCGGCACACGTAGGCACCTGGAGGGGGGGAGGAGACAGAGGGGGGGGGGGGGACACAGAGGTGAGGCGTGATGCTGGAGGTTCCTGATTAACGGAAGGAACGGAAGCTGCAGGGAGACGCTCGGGTTCGTGTTTGCGAGACGTCAAATGCCCGCTGGTTCGCCGGGTTTCTGGAAATTGCTATCAGTGTGTGGAAGAGTTGCTTTTTTGATGAGTCACTTGTGTGTTGATTTAGAAACAACAGAGTTATGACAGTGAATGAAAAATGTGGCGCGCAGTAGAAAAGCTGTATGAGAACAGGAAGAAACAAGTTCATACATCGACATGTTGAATCTGACTTAAATGTAGGGGCTGTTCATCTCAAATCAGCAAATTCTGCCATCTTCATAACATAAATGTAGATTTTTATAGATATTTATGAAATTTTAATACTTATTAAATACATTCCAAGATAAAAGATTTATAGAAATTGCCCATCGAACCTCTTCTAGATTATTTTTTTGCACACTGAAGTTTGAGATTATGTTTGAACGACAACATCTCATTTTCATTTGTGTTATGTCTCTCCATGATATTAACCAGAATCTGCAATATCTCTGATAATGAGTGAGGTGAAGTAAGAAAAAAAACTGAAAAGTACCATCTTTGAACACAAACTTTTGAAAAAAGATAGTATAGAAGCCAACTAGTGACAGTTTCTGAACCATAAGCAGCTGCATGTCACAAAAAAACAACACATATAGATATGCTTTTTCATGTATACTTAATCACAAAGATGAAAAGTAAGTTATTTTCTTTTCACTTTCATACTTGATTAATAAAGTATGACAAGTTGTATCGCCAAAACAAAAATGTTGCTAGATGGTCCAAGCAGAAGAGAGTTGTGGACGGTTAAAATGGTTCTCCAAGTTTAACTAAAAGTATATTTTAATAAGGACGTTCATTTACTTGCCCGAGCAGCATAGTTTTTGTGTTTAATTGCATGTGATGCAGCAGGTGATGATGAATTATGGGTCAAAACTGGCTCTGATCAAGCAGCATTAAGTGTAATAAAGAATCATTTAAGCCACTTGATCAAACCTCAAAGTAAAGTTTAAGTACCAATTTGAGCTTCTTCTTCTTCCTCTGACATCATAAAAAATATACTTTCGCTGCTAATCAGATTAATCAAAAAAAAAAAGAAATCAAAGATAAAACTTTAATAACTTGAATTGATCGTTTGTCAGAATTTGACATTTTCTCGGCATAATGATGAATTAAAAAGTATGTGTAGATTAAAAACGGAGGAAAAACCATTAGTTGCATCCTGTGGAATGTATCTACTCTCCAACCTAAAGTGGATTATTCATGAAAGCCATTAACGAGGCATCAATCGGTAGTTAATCTGAAGGTTTCTTGTAGCTCTTGTGCGTTAAATGACGGAGCACGTCGTCTGTCACGCACGTATCTGATGGAGCTCGACACTAAACCCTGACCTGCAGCCTTTAGAGGAGGGCGGGAAGATTTCTTAACCTGCCAAAGAGCCGGGGCTTTTCTAGAGGACGAACGCAGGAGGCTGGCTGCTGCTGCTCTTTGCCTTTATTCTCTCTGCTCCCCTGCCAAGTCAAATAACCGTGTGGGTGTGTTGCATCTTCAGAGGGGATAAAGTAAAATAATGGACTATTTTATCTGCCCGTGAAAAGCCTTGAGCTGCCTCTCTCCATTTTCTCACTGACAAAGGGGATTGTGATCAGGGCTGCTAAACTCTCTTTTCCTTTTTTTTTTTTGTATTTAAATCCACTGAAGCCTTTTCTCCCTCCGATAGTAACCATTTTCATTCAGCCTAATGAAGTATCAATGACTCAGGGAGGTTCTGAGGCACTAAACTTCCGGATAATGGTTCATATCCCCCTGCCACCACATCGGCTCAGGCCAGAGCTGGTTTTTTCCAGAATAAAAGGAGACATCGGTATTACAGCCATTTCATTAGTCTGACAGTGGAGCGCAGAGCAGAACTGGGCCCTGCGCTGTCGTACATCAAGACGCTTCATCGTCTGACGGCCACGAGGGGTTCTGACAGGAAAACAGGACATTAAGAAAAAAGAAAAAGAAATTAAAATCTCAGTGCTGCTCTACAGAGGCTTTCGTCACGCCGCCTCTCCCTTCTTGTGCCGAATTGGTCGGAGCTTTGGAGACTTGGTGGCTCCAGTTCACTACATCGCCAGCTGCAGCCACGACAAGTAGAGCTGCAGCCATTAATCAAGCAGTTGTCAACTATTAACTTAATCGTCAACTAGTTGGATAAATCAGTTGGAGTAAAAGAAAAAAAAGTTTAAATTCTTTGGTTAGAACGTCTTAAATGTGAAGATTTTCTGGTTTCTTTGCTTTGGGAAACACTAATTCACTATTTTCTGACGTTTTACAGGCTAAACATCCAATCAGTTCATCAAGAAAACAGTAGAAATAGTAACTGACAACAAAAATGATCGTTAATTTCAGCCCAGTTTAGGTGTTCCTAACAGTTTGCTGAGTGGGAACACATTCGAGCAATAATTTCAACTACAATTGCCACCTAATTGTGATGTTGATCAGTTACGTGACAAGAAAATTTACTTTTAGGTTCCACAATATACCAACTATGGAAACATCAGTGCCTATTAATAGGTGGACTTTGTTAAAAAAATAAAGTGCTGATGGTTGGAAGTGCAGGGCCAGCTGTTGCATTTCACAAAATCCTTCATAAAAAAATAAAACAATCTTTAAAAAAACAAAACAAAACCATATTTTCTTGGTTTGCAGGCGCTTAAAGAGGACAAAAAAAAATCTGCATCAATAAATTTAGTGTTTGGGTTTCAGAGGGTTAATTAATGAAAAGTACTGAAATATGATTATACAAAGATCAACTCGTGTTGTTTTGCAAAATGTAACTACTCATTAATGTAGGCTGATGTGACAGAACCAAATACATTTCTGTTGGGTTTATGATATTTTTACTTAGTTTACTATTTGAGACAAAGACACTTTTCACATATCTATTTCTTGAGGCAGATTTGTGACAAGCTCAACCAAAGGCTTCAATCGTCTAACTTGCAAAAATGTATTTATTAGTGGAACATGTTGGTGCTCGGCCTTCATCATTCAGGTAAATGTTTTGGATCTTAACCAG